TTGACAAATTATTTAATTAGAGTATTATAATTATATATAAAATTAATTGTATATTTTGATTTAAATATTTTATTAAAGATAGTATTAACAAAATTTTAAATATAATTTAGACCAAATTTTTCCTCCGATTCTGATGAGAGTAAAATCATAAACAAGACACGAGTGTTTAAAGATAGGGTATTACAATAAGACAATCATAAATATTATTTATTGAGTTATACAAAATTCCTAATTCTGATTGTAATACCCTTGCTTTAAATACCGATATCCAAATATTCATCCAATTTTAATACCTACAATAATATTCGTATTTAAACTTTATAATATTTGTCGCGGCTGATACCGAGATTGGCCGATGCTGAGATTTGGGGGTCTTGATTTGAGTCTACTAAACTTAAAATCCATATATACTCTTTTATTAACAATACCATGAGTCATCCAAAAAAAAAAAAAAAACCCTAAAAAAGTGCACCCAAAATTTTATAAAATTTCAAGGCTAATTCACAACTTCAGCCGCGGCAATCATTGCCGTCCAGGTTTGGGGTCGTTTAAGGCCAGGTACATCACGAGATTTCCGATGCCTACGACCATTTGTGTTACACGAATCAGCCCGACGAAATAAAAAAGGTTAAAAATGAGAAAAATCACAAGAAACGAGTATCTAAACATACCTTGGCGCATTAAGTAAAGGATCGGGAAGAGGATTTTACATATACCGGGTAGTACTCTTCTAACATCAATTATACAGGTCCTAATTTACTCCTAATCTTAACGATTAGAGTATATTTAGCGAATGTTGTACGAAGTTTAACAATAGATTTAGCAATGGAACAAAATGTAAATAAGTAGTACAGACCGCCACTTTCAATTTTTAGCATCAAACCTTTCACAGATGATATCTCTGATAAGAAACGTAAGAATCGTGAGTGGTCCGTGTACTAGGATGATTCATGAATATGATATTCACGACATTGACGTTTATTTAGGCCTAAAAAAAGTTGCTGAGATTCATGACCAAATAGATTGGCTAATGTGTCGGAAGGAGAAAAACCAACATTTTGGAGCAGTAATGTAAAAAGTTGAAAGATCAGAAGTAGGTTTTCGAAGAGATTCCAAGGGAAAGGATTTTGCTTTGTAATGAATCTGTCCTTATATAGAAAGCTTTCTCAGCTAGAAATATAATATACATAAGTATAATCATTTAACATTAATATTTTTTATAATAAGATTTATACTCACAACTCGATTTCACTTGAAGTGACTTCATAAACCCCATCCAAAACCTTTTCGACGAATTCACGATAACATCAAACCAGCAATTTCCAAGCGGTTTATCTTTTATAAATCAATATTTTTAACAGGCCGATAATGAACTTCATTCCATACCAGATTCAAGTCGTTGTCTATGACTTTAGTTTGGGCGACAATATCTTTATCATTACCCGTGTGAAATACTCGAACATAAGGATTAGATTTTCCTAATCGATTGATTTAATTAATTTATTATCACATTCCGGTAAGGATACCAAATTTGAATTTACATTAATCATAAAAATCAAACCCTTTAAATTTAACCATTATAAAATGATGAATTACCCATTGGTGATATAGATTTTGAAGTAACAATGCAAGGAAGTTGATTTAAATATTCCACATTCTTAATCATATTTCCACATTCCTCTATCAATTCTATCAATTGCAACGAATCCCCAACATTTTTCCATTATATTTTTATAAGCTTCTGGAGTCACATCTACAACTTCTAGACGAAATTCCTTGAAAATTATCACCATAGCTAAACACATACAGTATCATGAAGTCGGTCTGAAAATGGCCTATAAGTAGATGTTAGACCCTAGATGTCCAATTTTTTTGTAAATGGTTGGCCACTGAAACCTTTTTGTGCAATAAGGCAAAATCAATAATTGCCTTTATCAGATCCTATTAAGAGTAAATTTATTTAGTATAATAATAGAAATTAAGTACAGCCGACTCTGGACTTAACGAACCTTCCTATAACGAACTCAAAATTTTGAAATTCGTAATAGTTCGGTATAAAAGTTTCGTGAATTCTTAGGAAAACATAGTAATTTTTATAGCTAACCTTTTTTTTTCAAGAATCTTCAGTTTGTTATAGGATTGGTTTCAGTTTTTAAATAATAGGGTACTTAATAATGAATCTGCGGGATTGAAAGCCCAAAGTGCTAATAAATACTTTCATATCATCGTAAATGAGAAGATTTTCGTAATGAAATATCGATGAATTATATTTAATACGTGATGTGCATTTAAAGATTTTGCAATGCTAAAAGAATATATTTTTCCATGTGAGTTCGTGTTTATACTGATCAATAATTCTCCTAGGATCACCGCGAATCGCAAGTTTCATTACCATCGCATACCTTTGCGTATGTTCTGTTGAAACATAGAAAGATATAACACATTTTCCAAAGACATTGATGATGTATCTTTGGGTATTTGTGAATGACAATGTATAATCGAATTATTGATTCTTATAAGAAATTTGGATCAAAATTTTTAGATCCTTTCAAAATCTTAAGGACAAATTCTCCTTGTTTTTAATGTCTCAATGTTATCTAGACTTTGTATCTTGAATAAACGTGTCGATATATTGGTTCCCACATGACAAAGATGGTTTATTAGAGAG